AATTTTTCATTTAATATAGAAATCTTTTCCATTTCTCGAATCATTTGAAGTGTTTCAAGTTGTTCATTTTCTTAACACACACATATTAAATTTATATTTCTAACAAAATCTTCTACATTACCTCGAGTTTCATCGTCTTGATATGAAGTTGACTGAGATAATTTTACTTCTAAATAATCAAAGTTCAAATGAAAGACAATATGTTTGACAAAATAAATTACTGAATGCAGCATTTTCTTTTGCAAGTAAAAATCGTTCACGATTTAAAGAAACAATTGTTTGATCTTGTGCATTTATCTTTAAGAGATAAAGAAACTGAGATACGAAAAATAAAGAAATTAAAGATTTACTTTTGCATATAAACCAATCATTTCATGTTTTAATCGTTGAAATAAAGCAGCTTGATTTTGATAACCATGAAACATACTTTTTTGCCTAAATTTAAGAACAAAACAAAAGAATAAGTCAATTTCTGGAAAATAAAAGTACCATTTTTGAAATTGATCATCCATCATAGTTAAACATCGAATAGGATCTTCATTTATAACTAAAATATTTTTTAGATAGAGTTTTATATCCAACATACTACACTATTTACCATTGTACGGTGGTAAATAACACATTTTTGTTGTATTTGTCCAACAATCTCCAATATCTCTAAAAATAAAGATAGACAATAAATTTGAGTCAAATTCAATTAATTTACTACTTGTATTTGCTTAATAAAATCGCATCTTCAGTAAAACCAAATTTTCGATAAAAATTAATGGCACCCTGATCGGATGCTGTTATAATAGCATCATAATCGCCAATATAATCTCGATTCATTAATAACTACAATATAATTAAAAAACAATATATATATTATTATCTATCTAATTTGATTACTTTCATTAAATATCGACCTATTCCACGACCACGATACTTTTTTCGACAAGCTAATAATAAAAGATCTAAGACATGTTCTTCGTGTGCTCTACAAAAATGAAAGATTGACTAGAATTAAAACTATTCATTTGCACCTACGGTGTTGGAAACATGGTTATTTTTTGAAAACTCAAACTACCAATAAGACGTTTATGAAGATTAAGTTTTTCAGCTTTCACTTTTTTTAAAAATTTTCCAACACCAATCGAATAATCGTGTTCATCATCTTCATCTTCATCACCATCTTCATCTCTTTAAAAGTTATAATTTAAATATAGAATTTAATTTCAAATAATAATACAAACTCTTCTTCAGAACTTTCACTTGATGATGCATCTGAAAAAACATCATGAAAAACACTATCTGGTTCTTCTATATTTTCAAGTAATGTATCAAGACAATCTTTTTCATCGGTGACAAGATTACTGACAGTTCCTTGTTTTATTACAACTTCTGGATTATCTATAAAAAAAACAAATTATTATTTATTAAATTTCAGAAATAAATCATTTTATTTTAAATTTACTATATACAATAAGTACTGAAACAACTTTTCGTTCACATATTGTACTATAAATTGTCTCACTATCGAAAATAAATCAAATTTAAAAAATAAATAAATATATAAATAATAACTTACCCACCAATTTCCGATAAACATTTATCATATAAAGCAACTAATGTATGAAGTAATTCTTGTGAATTACACTGAAAAAATACACAGAAAAACGTTTTCTATTATTTAATTAATTAACTGTTTTTAACAAACTTGAAATTCTTGTGCAATATCATCTAAATCAGTTTGTTCAGGTGAATGAATTAGTTTCCATAAACGTACTTGATAAATATCAACAAGAAATGGAGCAGAATTTTCCTTAGTAGTCTCGCGAGTTGGCAAAGAAATTTGTCGAGCTAAGAGAGCAAAATCTTTTTTTGTTGAAAACATTATTTTCGTTAAATAGAGAAAAATAAAAATATGAAATATTTATATCGCCATTATATTATAGTCAAAAGTGACATCTCTATATGGCAGCCACTAGATTGAAGTTTAATAATAAACACTATATGATGTCGCTATTTACTCTCAAGATTTTTTATTGAGAAGAAGACATATTTTTAAAAAAACATAGTTATGATGGTAAAAATAAATACTGTATATTAATATTTGTGTAAGGATACGAAAGAGAGTCAGAATGATTATTGTATAAATCAATATGTTTGGTATATGAAGGTGTATTGATATTTATCGAATGTATAACCGATTCTTTATATTTATATAATACTAAAATAATATATATATACGAGTTGTAATAATTTGTGTCTAAATCAGATATGGATTAGTAATAGGAGCAAAAGTATTTTCAAATAAATTGAAATTCAGTATCCATTTAATAGAATAGAAACATTTTCTTTTATCTCATATTTGTAGAACGATCTTTTGAAGAAAAAAAACTCCTGGATATTTTCCTATAATCTAACTGCTGTTGTTATATCCTATTTAAATAATAAACACATGAAGATTACTTTTTTTTATTATAATTTTATATAGTATAAAATATAATGACAATACATTTAAGAAGATGACTATTTCGAAGTTAACTTAGTTATTTTTGAACTGTGTCTAGTTTTTTCTTCTTCCAATGTGCAGATGTTATTAATCATAAGAAAATTCTTTTTTTATTTAATATTATAAGTTTTTCTTATACTACATAATCTTTGAATTTGACTTATTAACACCATATGCATAATTCTTGATTTTAAATGCATAAAACTGACAAAATGTTCGCTGTAAAAAATGTGTATTCAATGCAACTAAATTCAATAATATAGATTTATCGAATGACATATTCATTGAAAGTGATTTTCGCAAAGTAAATATTAACGAAGATCAATTGAAAGCGGCTGTTTCTTTGAAAAATTTAATGTTTCGTAATATTCGATGGGGAGAAAGTATTTACTGAGTATGAAAAGTAAATATTCGTCACCATTACCTCCAGTTTTTTCCCATGATGTAAAAAAATACAAAGAAAGATTGTACACAAACTTCGAACTGCTTGGAACTTACATCACTTTCTTTAGAACTTGATGAATAACGCATACGAAAGAAAAATATAAGCAATCACTATAAGTGTTTATTTAAATAACGTCATGCAGAAAAGAACAAAAATCGAAATAGTAGTGACACAGTTGATTTTTCTAAGAAAAAAATAAAAATTGGAAAGAAAAATAATCAAAGAATCTTAACTGATTTCGCAAGCTTTGACACATTTGAATCAACGATTTTGTTGCATTATTTTTGAATGAGATGAATTTAATTAATTAAATAAGAATAAACTTCGTATATTGATGTAAAACGAAGGAGAACAAGTTAGACAAGATTAATCATAATCTGTATATCGTTGTAATGCATTGTTAAAAGTTCATTTTAACTGACAATTTAAAGAAACATCTACTAGTTCTCACAATTTCTTCTGAATCTCTTCATTTTTGTTATTAAGGAGTTCTAAAACTTTCACGATTATCGAATAATTCTAAAAAATTGACGTCAGAAATTGACGTCAGAAATTGCAACTGTACGTGTTCTAGCCTAAAATTTGCATACTGTTTGTACATACATCATGTATGGATATTTCTTTTCGGAAGTAAATAAAGAAAAAATAATGAGTGTTGATGCCATAGAAATGAAGTTTCTTGGAAATATACAGTTATTTCGTAAATAATGTTTCTTTTCGACGAAAAGATCCATGGTTATTTCCTTCTTCCGAAGAAATACTTGAAGTGCGAGGTAGTAAACCTAATGCATTGTTTGTATGCATTTTCTAAAGAATTACTCATTAAACATATATTTTGAAAGGCGTAATTACATCGAAAAAATCCATTCCCAGAAAGGGACCAGATTTGGGTATAAAAGGCAATGTACAATGCAGTTGCTCCACAGTAAATCAGTAATTGCTTATTACATACAAAATGGCTTATAAAACATTAGTGGGATCGGTATTGATTATTTTGGTATTGGGTATTTGGCATTGTCAGGTATGTACAGTAGTAGTTCAAGAGTTTCTTTTCATGTTTAATTTCAATTTTATTTTCTTATGATAAGGCTGGTACTATTTCATGCCTACAACCCGGTCGTGTTTATCAATGCCCAGCTGACAACTGCACATTAGTTGGCTACGTTCGTGCCGGGCTGGACTATCCAAGTGATTGTTTTGTTCTCAGAAAACCGATTCGAAATGCGGTTACTGAAAATCCAAAATGGTATCATGCCAGTTTACCGAGCGGCAGAAATGGTTATGTTAATGCTTTCTTTTGCGAAGGTGATGTTCCTCATTGTAAGAACCGCTAAACTCTATTCTGCTTTTTTTTAAGCTTACATTTTTAAACCAGAATTTTAATTACTAATCTCGATACAGAATGTGAACCAAAATTTTTATCCTTTTATTTTAATCCAATTGCACTCATTTATATCAATAAAAATATATTTAATCTTGAAATGTATTGTAAATCAATTGATTCGATCACTGTATCAGACAGATACATGGAATTTTCAGTTATACTGATTGCTATCAGATGAGATTGTCATTAACATTATTTCACTTTTCATAACATACTCAAGTTTCCCAATCAGTATCTCTAGTACATTATTTCTCACACTGATATGTCTGATGTAGAAATCGGGGAAGCATTTGAACTGGTTATTCTTGTTTCAAAATTTAATGCATAAATGAATTATCAATACTAAATAGTGCAGAAAAGTATATGCTTTCATACATTATTCTGTTTTTGCAAATATTCATGTTAACACATAACGAAAGAAGTTTGTTCGCTTCTTTTGAAGGATGCACTGCGATTTTTGCAATAGGTATGGATGAGAATGAAAATATGAGTATAGTAGAAACGCTCACCAGAGATCGGCGAGACAAGGATTTTTCTGGCCCGTCCATATTCCGCGCTCCTGCGTTACATCTCGTCCCGTCCTTCGTCTCTTATCAAAAATATTTATCAATTTATGTTTTATAAATAATAAATATTCAAGTAATATTTCACTATTAGTTTAATTTTGCTATTTATCTTCTTTAACTGTTTATTTTTAAATAAAAGTATTACATAATTGAAACAATCTAAATTGAAAAAAGTTCAACTCATAGAAAAACAGCTATACAACAGTATTGATCGTGGAACAATTGTGCATAAAGCTTTGTCTCGTCCTGTCCCGCAGTCAAGGGTGTGAGCGGATGCGGGTGCCGATGTAGATGAGTAAAATAAGATACACCCACATACACATACACACTAACACCCACAGCCACAGCCACAGCCACACCCACACCCTCACCCACAGCCACACCTCACACCCCACACCCACACCCACACCCACACCCACACCTCACACCTAACACCCACACCCACACCTCACGCCCCACACCCCACTCATACCCACACCCACACCCACACCCACACCCACACCCACACCCCACACCCCACCCACACCCCACACCCCACCCACACCCTTAATCTTAAGAAATGATTGAATCCCTATCGTAATAGAAAAAGAACCAAGAATAAACATTAACGGTACTTTACGTCACACACTAGGAAGAGAAGAAAAAAAGAAAAAGAAAAGTAAAATAAGCACGCAGGTATACATATTTTTACAGCGTAAAGCTGATGAAAGAATGACGTCTGTTTGCTCATAGAAATTTCTAAGAAATAAGACAAATTCGAAATTATGATGATAGTCTAATAAAAAAAACTAAATACTTTCAACAACATAACATTTCATTTCCTCCTCTTTGTATAGCTTCAATAGGATGGATTTTCTTAATTTTCAGAAGACATAATGGCAACTGCGCATAAACACGTACGTGACTTGACATAGTTTTTTCAACAAACGCAAATCGTTGTATATTAACTGGCATATCAAACATAAATATATTCACAATTGATCGATGGTTATAAAGCTTTACGAATGTGTAAGGCCTTTCTTGTTAAAATGAACAAATAAACTTATATCTATGTCTGCACGTTCATTTTCTCTCTAATATGAGCAATCGAAACGTATATCCATCCTGGATATCCTTCAAATAGCGGAGAAGATCGATGGCAGAATAAGTAAAATGAAAGAAAATAATCCATCACTACTTGTGTTTTATAATCTTATAAGCTATGAATTGAGAAAAATCATTGACAGAATTATTAACATTGCCTGAACGTGCTGTTACGATTATTCTTCTATATTATGTCTAGTAATAAATTCATATAATCTTAAGTTAGAAAGGGAATAATTTCATAGTGAAAGGATGTTGTTTCTCGTATGGGTAATGCCTTTTCTATGGACAAGTACTAAATGTGATCCGATTTTTTACATCTCTGATCATCGACAGTATGATTGTTTATATTTCTACTGGATGGATTCAATAACACCAACAAAAGTTGAATATTGTCTTCGGCCGACAGACAATATTGATATCGCAACGCCAGATTTCTTAAATACACGTGATCAAAATTATACATTCAGTGAGTTAAGAAAGATGAATATTACTGCATATGAGATTTTTGTCTGGTCTGCTTCGATCGATCTCGCTGAAAACTATCAATACTATCTTGATCAGGAGAATAAATCTTTACTATCAAACGAAATATTCTATAATTGCACGAAACCATGGTTCGGATCTCGTTGTCAATATTCCTTTGAAATCCCCGAAAAAGAAGCATCACGTGACTTGGACTTGGCTATGCCTGTTACTAAACATACATGTTATATTCTATTAGAATGTAATCGTGGTGAATCATTCTTCTGTCTCGATTGGCGTGAAATATGTGATGGCCGAGTTGATTGTCTTAATGATGGTATTGATGAAATGCATTGTGTTGATTTAGAAATAAATGAATGTAAAACTGATGAGTATCGATGCCATAATGGATTATGTATTCCGAAATACTATCGAGAATCGCGTTTATTCTATGCATTATGTCTTGATCAATCAGATGCATGGGAAGAGATACAATGTCCAAGTTTCGATCCGACACTTGATTTATTTCAATGTGAAGAACATACATGTCCGCCAGGTCCAAAAAAATTTTCATGTGGCGATGGACAATGTGTCGAAGATTTTGATGAATGTGACAACGGTCGCCATCTGATGTTACTACAATCATTGAGTAGCCAAGGCAATCTCTCGTATCATTGTTGGCTGGCAATGGTCTGTCTGACGAAAATAATTGATCAAGCCAATAGAACATTATGTCAATCTCTATCTGAATCATCTGATATTCTCGTCTATCTTCATAGTTGTGATGCTCTCATTCAATTTCCTATATATCCTGTTCTTTTCGGACATGTTCGTTTTCTCTATCGACCACAAGAAGTTTCCGAAGTCGACATAAACTCAGCTCTGGTGCCTGATTATATCTGTTATGACGAACAATTGTGTGATTATCTTTCGGTAACATTTCGCAATGAAACTCATACATGTCGACATCGTTATGACATGGGTTTGAAATTGAATATTGAATATTCTAGTTGGAAAGCGATTATTGATTTAATCAAACCTTATTTTTCAGGTTGTCATATTAGATATACGAACAAATATCAAACCGAACATCCGTCATTATATCGATGTCAAAACAGTTCGAAATCAATTTCAAAACATCGAATTCTCGACAATATTGTAGATTGTTATCTGGAAGATGACGAGCGAGACTTTCAATTAAGTTGTTCACTTAAGGATCCATATCGTTTCCAATGTTTCAATGAAATTCAATGTCGATCACCAATACTTGCAGTGCATGATTGTCCATTTAAAGAAGACCAAATAGCGACTATCGAAAATATCTTATTTAATCAAATATGTGATCGAAATGTTGATATTTTACCTCAGTTGATTGATGGACGAAATCATACAGATGAAACTAATTGTGAAGATTGGCCATGTAATAATATTTACACAAGATGTGATGGATTTTGGACTTGTCCAAATGGTGAAGACGAAGAAAACTGTCATCCATCGAATTGCTCTAAACATTTTCTTGATTGTATTTCTTCATCAAATAATACTTTCATATGTTTACCAGCAGAACAAATTGGAAATGGCATCATCGATTGTCTTGGAGGAATAGATGAACTTCAATTATGTCAAATGAAAAATTATCGTCAAGGAATTTCATATAGTTTTCGTTGTTTAAATGACGGCAGATGCATTGAATCTTCAGAATTTTGTGATTTCAATGATGAAACATTCTATCAAGATCTTTGTGACGAATGGATTCTCTATAATCTTACTGAACTACAAAATAATCTTTGTCGCATGGGTACACTAGAACGTCTTTCATTTACATTAAAAAAATCTCAATTCTACCCATTGATTGAAAATCAAATAGCTGATGGGATTATTGATTTAACAATCAAATCATCGCATGATATAAATAATATCAATATTGAATTCGACGATTTCACATTATCATCACAATGTATTCGCGGTAAATCTCTTTATCATTGGTTAAGCAATGAAAACTACCGCCCGAATTGTCTTTGTCCACTGAATTATTATGGTCATATGTGTCAATACCAAAATCAACGTGTTAGTCTTACATTAACATTACTAACAAGTGATGGACAAAATGCTTATGCTATTTTCATCAAGTTAATCGATGATGACAATGATCGACAAGAAATTCAATCGTATGATCAAATAATATATGTCTCAGACATTGGCACATGCGGACAAACATTTCACATATATCTTTTATACTCAACGCGAATGAATATTCTTTCAAAGAATTACAGTATTCATATTGATCTTTACTATAAGCATTCGTTGGAATATGTTGCTAGTTGGTATTTTCAAATTCCTTTTCGTTTTCTTCCAGTACATCGACTTGCAGTTTTATTAAGTTTGAAAACGAATCAGATATCCAATTCTCATGGCTGTCCTCTGAAATGTCAAGAAGGCACCTGTATGAAATATATCAACGAAGAAAAATTCTTTTGTCAATGTGAAAGACATTGGTCCGGTGCTCTATGTCACATTTTCATGTCGTATGATGATTGTTCATCCGATTCACTCTGTGTGGGTTATATTCGCAATCGATCGATCTGTATTTGTCCTTCGGAAAAATTTGGTTCACGTTGTCTTCTTAAACATTCTTGTCCAAAAGATTATTGCAAGAATAATGGTTCATGTGTTGTTAGACATGAAAGAACCGAGAACAGTTATTCATGTTTATGCTCAGAACAATTTAAAGGAAATCAATGTGAAATTCCGAAATCAAAATTAGAAATTTCTTTTCGTAACATAGAACGTGCACCATATTTAGTAGCTTATACCTATCAATTTATTCAATTTGAAG